AGGGCCGTATGGCATCAGGGGGCTCCCAGGGGAGAGATAGGGCGGGTAAGGCAGGCTGTGAGGGCTTGTTGGGGGGAGAGCCCTGAGTGCAGAGACAGAAGCGTGGGGGATGGGATCTGAGGGCTTTTGAGCAGAGAGTTTGGAGGCAGCGGCTCGTGTGGTCGTGGCAGCAGTAGCAGCAGTGGGAACGGCAGGAGCAGTGGAAGCAGTGGCAGCAACAGCAGCCGCAGTAGCAGTGCTGGCAGTGGCAGCAGCAGCAGCAGCAGCAGTAGCAGTGGTGGCAGCAGCAGCACTGGCAGCAATAGCAGCAGTGGCAACAGTGGCAGATGGGGGAGTGGCAGCAGCAGGAGCAGGAGACGCAGCAGGGACAGAAGCACTGGTGGCAGCAGGAGTGGCATGGGAAGTGGCAGCAGAACCAACAGGCGCAGTAGGAGGAGCATCGGAGCGGGCGGCACCACTAGCAGAAGCAGTAGGAGTAGAAGCAGCAGCAGCGGCAATGGAAGCAGTAGCAGTAGCAGCAGCACCAGTAGTACTGGTAGCAGCAGCAGCAGCAGCAGCAGCGGCAGCAGGAACAGGAGCAGTAGCAAGCATTCCAGTGGGCGGAGGGACAGTGGCAGCACTGTGCATCCCACGTCTTGAAAGAGGAGAAGGTGGAGGTTGGGGTGGTAACCGTGTTACGGAAGGTGGAGGGGGCTGTGAGAAGAATCCTACTGTGGGGTGAGGCTGACTCCCTGTCGATTTTGGACTTGACAGGGAAGCTGTTGGAGGCAGTGTTGATGCTGCTGCTGGTGGTCCAGCTGCTGCTGGTGCAGCTCTTGCTGCTGTAGCAGCTACAGCATGTATCTTGGTACTTGCTCCTGTGGTCATACCTCCACTGGTCATACCTCCACTCGTCATACCTCCACTGGTTTTACCGCCACCAGCGCTTTTTCCTCCTCCCCTTTCGCTGGCTTCCTTTAGCACACCTGCGCTTGCTGCTGCACTGGCTACTGCAACCTCTACTCCACCTGCTGTTTCTCGACTGAAATTGCTACATGCAACATCTGTAGCACTAATCCTTGCTCCAACAGCAACTGCAGTAGCAACAGGAGGAGGAGGTGGCACTTTGACTGAAGTGGCATTGCCGGTGGTCGCGGCAGCAGCACCTGTAGTAGCACCGGTGGCAGCACCTGTGGCAGCGGCAGCTGTAGCAGCAGTCGCAGAATCTAAAGCACCGGCAGCAGCACCTCTAGAAGCACCTGCAGTAACACCTGTAGCAGCACCTGTGGCAGCGTCTGCAGCAGCAGTGGGAGCAACAGCTAGAGGAGAAGCAGCAGCAGCAGCAGCAGCAGCAGCAGCAGCAGCAGCAGCAGCAGCAGCAGCAGGAACAGAGGAGCAAGCACTGATTGTGGGAGGCTTTTTGGCAGATGTTAGAGCAACCAAACCAGGGGTTCCTAGAGGTTCGGATCCACGTCCCTGAGCAGGCTGGGTGTCGAAAACAGGCTTGGAGCAAGGTCTGGGAAAATTACCATCAGAGGCAGGAGTGGGAGCAGAGGCAGAGGCAGAAGCAGGGGGATGAGCAGGAGCAGAAGCGGCAGAGACAGCAGCAGGAGTAGAAGCAGCAGGAGGAACAGGAGAAGCAAGAGGAACAACCGGAACAGCAGCAGCAGGAGAAACAGCAGCAGGAGGAGGAACAACAGCAGGAGGAACAGCAGGAGCATCAGGAATAGCAGGAGGGGCATCTGGTGGTAACCAGAAGCCAGCGGCTGCTGCATCTGAGCCATCGATAAAACCACCCGGATGCCAGAAGTACTCTGCAAAGCCTTCCCCTTCAAAGCTCTCCTCGGGCCCTACCGACCTATCCGCTGTGGGGGAATGAGCATGACAAAGAGATAGGTCCCCCGTGGGTGAGTGACGAACGGCAGGAGGGGGCGGGGGAGATGGGAGGTAGTGACGAGAAAGGGGAGGGGGAGAAGGGTGGTGGTGAGGAGGGGGAGGAGAAGGGTGGTGATAAGGAGGGAGGGGAGGAGGAGGAGGAGAGGGATGATGCTGTTGCTGCTGCTGCCGCTGCTGCTGCTGGTGATGCTGTTGGTGTTGCTGTTGATGATGGTGATTAGCAGAGGGTCCAGTAGGGGTATCAGAAGGAGCAGCAGCGTCAGTAGATGCTGCATTAGCACGGGAGAGCCTGCCTTGTCCATGCACCTGCCTCCCATGCGCATCTCGTGAGAAACGCCCATGTATGTCAGCGGCATTGTGCCCGTGCATGTCAGCGGCATTGTGCCCATGCATGTCAGCAGCATGATGCCCATGCATGTCTGTGGCATGATTCGCATGCATGTGAGTGCCATGCTGAGCATGCATGTCAGTGACATGCTGAGCATGCATGTGAGCGCCATGCTGCCAAGGCAAGTCAGGACAAAACAGGCTGTCCGCTCCCGAACCACCTCCTGCAAATGGATCATCATATGACATTTCTGTGCTGCCCGAAAACTGCGGGCGGGCCGACAGGAGAAAACCCTTCGGTGCTGCTACCATACTCCTTCTAGAACCCGGCCCTGGATCAGCAGCAGTACCACCACCAGCGGCAGCACCACCAGTAGAACCAGCAGCAGGAGCACCAGCAGCACCAGCAGCAGCACCACCACCAGCACCACCAGCAGCACCAGCAGCACCAGCAGCAGCAGCAGCAGCAGGGGATTGAACCTGAAAGGGCATCTTCTGAGAATGCCCTTCCTTGGGTCGCTGTGTGTGTGGAAATAGCCCCTCACCTGCCTGCATGGCATGACCTTGACTTTGCATGGTATAGTCTGTTCCACCGTCACCCATCTGCATGCCCATGCTCACGCCAATACCAATGCTTGGATCCGTACCCCTTCCCATACCCATACCCATACCCATACCCATACCCATACCCATACCCATATCAATACTCCTCCCCAGTCCCATCCCAGTCCCCTTTTCAGATCCCATGTTCATGCCACCCCCAATCAAAGCAGCGGCAGCAGCAGCAGCAGGAGGAGCCGAGCTTGGGCCTGCACTTTCATCTCTCTTCCTCTTTGAACCCACTTCTCCCCCTGCTGGTGCTGCTGCTCCTCCTGCTCCTGACTTAGACGCTGCTTCTTCTTTCACTCCTCCTGCCTCCCCTGTTCCTCCCGCTACAGCCTGCCTGGCCTCGCCCACTCCTTTCTCTCCACCTATCCCACCATGCACACCGGCTGTAGCGGCAGAAAATGCAGCCCCAACAGGAACATCGGCTGTAGCAGAAACATCTCTAGCACCACCAACACGAGCACTGGCTGTAGCGGCAGGATATGTAGCGCCAGCAGGAACAGCAGCTGTAGCAGCAGCGACTGAGTGGAGAACGGGGCTGCGCCTGCTGCTGCTGCTGCTATGGGTCAGGTGGTGCGGGACAGGAGGGTAAGGGGAACCACCAAACCCTGCTGCAGACGCGTTATAAGCCGCACCAGACCATGCCACAGGAGTATATTGGGAACTATCAAAAGCTGCTTCTGCGATTCCTCCTCCTTCCATTCCTGCGCCTACGATCCCTCCACCTTCCCCATGCATCCATTCCATACCATCACCATCATATCCAAATTCGATTTCATTCGACCACTTCTGCCGCCCCTCCTCTGCTGGATCATCATTTAGACCTCTTAGAACCACCACTTCCGCCCTTCCCTTCCCACCACCTCCTCCTCCTCCTCCTCCTCCTCCTCCTCCTCCTCCTCCTCCTCCTCCTCCTCCTCCTCCTCCTCCTCCTCCTCCTCCTCCTCCTCCTCCTCCTCCTCCTCCTCCTCCTCCTCCTCCTCCACCTCCTCCTCCTCCACCTCCTCCTCCTCCTCCTCCTCCTCCTCCTCCTCCTCCTCCTCCTCCTCCTCCTCCTCCTCCTCCTCCTCCTCCTCCTCCTCCTCCTCCTCCTTCGCTCTCCTCTCTCACTCTTTTCAGCTCCCCACCTCCTCTCACCCCCTCCTGGTTTCCACCGCTCTGCACCTCTCCATTCTCCTCCCTCTCCTCTCTCCTCCCCTCCTCTCGCCTCCCCTCTGCCTCCATCCCCCTTCCCTCCTCTCCCCCCTCCTCCTCTTCTTCCTCTAACATCCTCCGTTGGGTCTGAATCGTCCGAACCATCTCTGTTATAATCACACTCAGTGTAAGCACGCCCACCTGCTTCTTCCCTCCCCCTAGCCCTGCCCCGTTCTCCCCTCCTGCTCCTTCGCCCATGCCTCTCCTACCCCCCTTCCCCTTCTTCCTCCGCTTCCTCCCCCCACCCTTTCCGCCTTTCTCCCCGCCCCCCTTCCCCCCACTCGCGCTCCCCTCCACAATAACGGGTTCCATGTACCCCCGGTGACGTGGCGGGAAGGGCTGCTGAGCTGGCGGGATGAGGTGGCGGTGGTGGGCGCAGAGGACGGGGGAGAAGGCGGAGAACGCGGGGCGCCCGCAGGGCAGGTGCGCCCCGCTATTGGAGCCCCTGGGGGAACAGCAGAGGGCGGGGGAGAATGGGGGGGGAGAGGAGGGGGGGGATGTGGGATTGTGGACGCAGGTGTGGGCGGGGGAGAAAGCGGAAAAGGCGGGGCGCCCGCAGGGCAGGTGCGCCCCGCTATTGGAGCCCCTGGCGGAACAGCAGAGGGCGGAGGGCATGGGGGGAAGCAGGAAGGGGAAGGGGGGGGTGAGGGTGATCAGGGGAAGGGGGGGGGATGTATGATGGTGCAAGCAGGTGTGGGGGGAAAGGCTCCAACGGGGTGTGATTCAAGCAGAAGACGGAGAGGGTATGGGTGGGGGAGGGGGAGAAGTGGGAGGGGGACAGAAAGGGGAGTGAGTGCAGGAATGTACCAGCAGACGATGTAGGTGCAGGGCTTGTAGAGCCTCTGGCGCGGCTCTAAAAGAATGTGATTCAAACAGAAGACGGATAACGCCAGAGGCTTCGCCAGGCAAGGTCCAGGAGCCGCGCAGTGCAACGTGGCATTCGCTGGTTTGTCAGGCGCATGTGGCTCCGGCCTTGCTGCTCCGCCTACCCCCAATACCCCTGCCGTTGCCCCGCTTCCCCCTGCTGCTCCGCTCTCCCCCGCTGCTCCGCCTTCCCCCCCTGCCCCGCCACCATCTAAACCGCTTCCCCCAGCTGCTGCCCGGAAGCTCGTGTCTCTCGGGAAAGGGGGGGCAAAAGGGGGTGGCGGAGGCGGAAGAGACGCGTGGGGGCGCGAAGCAGGCGGAAACGGGAAGTCGCTGCCTTCTCCCGCTGCGCCTGTTCCGCCTGAGGCGGAAGGATGGGCGCCTGCGGCGGGCGCGGGCTCTTTCCATCCGCTCTGCCCCGTGCGCATGCAGAAGCGGCGGTACTTGGCTCGCAGCTCCTCCAGCAGCGCCCAGTACTGCCCGCGGTACACCGCCATGAGCCTGTAGCGAGGCGGCGTATCACGAAACAGGAAAGAAAAGAGAAGAGGGAAATTAGGTCGTGGGAGAAACGCACCAATCAGGGGACAATGTATCACAGTTCACGTCGACCCCTGTGGCTGCTGCATACACTTTTGAACGAATTCCATCTCAAAAGCGAAATTAGGGTTTGAGCCATACATGGCTCACGCGACCAAACCCGCAATTATCGACCATAATGAGGTGTGTGCCGCGATTGCGGATGTACAGGTAGTTAGGGTTGCGCAATAAGCATGCACTGACTTTCTGAGACGGTTTAATCGCCGCTGAACCACCTCCTCAGCCGCAACTACCGGCAGATTGCGCAAGCACTCCTCGAGATCCATCGGCTCCATATCCAGCGATCCGTCCTCTCCCTCATCGTCAGAATGGCCCCCCTCACCCCCCTCCGCTTCCTCGCGGAGACCGCCTTTTTCAACGGCCCTTGTAGCCATACCGCGATGATTTGGTGACGGTGCAAACAAAGGTTCCAGGTTGATCGTTTGCAGCGTTGTAGCCATACCGCGATGATTTGTTTTCTTGTCCATTTTAGTCGTCAACTTACATCTGATTTGGATATGTAGCACATGAATCGACCTACGCGATCAGCAAAACTGGAAATCGTGCAAGTGTAACACAAACTGTCCGCGCTTTAGACGCATGTTCCTCGTGACGATTGCAGGCCCAGTTCACAGCAACGATCTGGAAACAGCTGTTACTGTAGCCACCTAAATTTCTCCAGGCACGATCTGTCAGGGCATCTACATACACTGATGTACTGTTCAGCGAGGTGTACGAGACATCAATCTGTGTGTGAATGGGACAAGCAAAAGTTTCAGATTTGTAGTTCCCACATGTATTTGTAGACAAAGGCATGGGCATACAAAACTGTAGAGAAACATGGGTTTGTGGTGCTCGTATGTTTCGTACATAACATTACACTTCGGCATTGGCTATTTCTGAGTCAACAGCAGTGATTTGCTGTGAACAGGCTGCCCTGAAATCAGCGCAAGACAATTTTAGGCGTGCAGTGCAGTTTTTCTCGGGAACACCTCCGGTCGAGGTCCCAAAAAACCAACAACAACCCTCGGCCATTGGTGTGATCGCTGCGATAACGACACAAAATCTACAGCACGAGAAGATGCGGCGGAAGAATCCAATCAAGCACATATCGAAAGAATTCTGGAAGGAAATGTCCGCTTGGTGTTGTCGATTTCCCTTAGGTTCACTTTGAAGTGTAGTACACTAAGGGCCGTCACAATTGAAACATCGATCCTCTAGGGGATCAATGTGTGGGCTACAAGAATTCGTTGTGTAATTATCTCTTTTTCGCTGTTTTTTTCGCTAAGACTCTGGTCACGTCACCGAGCGCTATGTAACTTCGAAATCGATCCGTCACCGCACTCAAATCAAGCGTATAGCATTCAAGACTTCCGAAGCGTTTAAAATCTCGTAAATAAACGAGCCTGAGGGCGATCGCGACCATGTGGCTCGAAGGAGATCGATGTTAACAGCTTCGGTGTGTAATCCCGAATATCCCCCAGTATTTCTATTTTTTTTCCAACAATTTTTTTCTCATGTCAGAAACCGTATTGCAGAGCATCTGTATAGTGATGTAAATGACTCTCCTCTACCTTGCAGGAACTGGGATCTGCACTAAATGATAGAGCACTCTGCTGGCTTTCCAACGAGCCGTCAAACACACGATTCGCCCAAGTAACGAGGGAGTTGTAGGCTTTTATGTGCTTGCTAGTGCTCTTAGAACAAAGGATAGGAGCTCTCTGGATTTTGTAGTCGAATGTATCACTTACAAAGTGATTCTCAATTTCAGTATGATCCATGCAATACAAAGCAACACAATTTTATATGAACTGCAAACATCGAGTCGCACATGTAACCTCGAACCGCGGTACACTCGCGAATGTTCGAGTAACATTTCGAAGGGGTGAAATTCGACCCTCGAATTTCACCGATCCGAATTCTCCTTGGGTCTCGAATGTTCCTGGTGCTGCCATGTGGCACCGAATCGATGGGTCTTCCGAAGTCAACCCACTCACTTCGAAACCTGCAGCTCACGCAACATGTGAGCTTCATTCGGTGGTTGGGGGCAAACCTCCCCCCACACTCAACCTCCAACACTCCCCCTTGCACCCAAGCCACTAGAAGTTCAATCCAACACGCTCACAGCATGCACGGAATGAATCCTTAGGGAGTGGTTTGGTGAGGAAGTCCGCGGGTTGAGCTTTGGTACTCACATATGTGACTTTGACCTCACCCTTCTCAACCGCCTCACGAATGAAGTGATGCTTCACTTCGATATGCTTGGTTCGCCCGTGAAGTACGGCCTTGTGAGAGAGGCTTATGGCGGCCTGGTTGTCACAAAAGAGAGGAGTTGGCTTCGTTTGAGGATGCCCAAGCTCCGCTAGAAGACGCCTTAACCATATCGCCTCCATGGCACCTTGAGTGAGTGCCATATACTCCGCTTCCGTTGAGCTTAGAGCCACGGTTGGTTGCTTCTTGCTTTGCCAACTCACGGCTGCCCCAAGCAAGGTGAAGACGTACCCGGAGGTACTCTTGCGCGTGCTCGGATCTCCCGCGTAGTCCGAGTCGGCATAGCCCTTGAGTTCAATCGGGCCGGCTTCATACACGAGCCCCAAGTTAGGTGTGCCTTGGAGGTAGCGTAGAACGCGTCCTCCCGCACGCACATGCTCGGTATGAGGGTTGCTCACGACTCGTCCAAGCACCCCGGCGGCGTATGCGAGGTCGGGACGAGTAGAAACGGCGGCATACATGAGCGAGCCCACTAGCGAATGAAACCGCTTCCCTTCGGCTTCATCGAGGGTGGATTCTTCCTCTCCCGTGAGGCAAGAGAACCCCGTAGCTAGTGGTGTTCCCACCGGTTTGCTATTGCCCATGCCGAAGCTCTCCACTACCCCCTTCACATACTTCTCTTGGTGGAGGTGGATGGTCCCGTTGGCTCGGTCACGGTCAACGTGCATCCCAAGGTAGTATGTGACCGGCCCCAAGTCCCTTATAGCAAACTCCGCCCCGAGCCGTTGCTTGACCTCCCGAATGAGGTCCTTGGAGTCGGAGAAGAGGAGTAAGTCATCGACGTAGAGCAAAAGCACCAATTGCTTCTCCCCCGCCTTCAACACGTACAAAGCGCTATCGCACTCGCTACGCGCGAAGCCGTGTTGAAGAAGAAAGTCGTCGATGCGCTTGTACCATCCGCGTGGACTTTGCTTCAAGCCGTAGAGGGTACGCTTTAGCTTCCACACCCTTCCACTACCGTCATCGTACCCCGGGGGTTGCCGCATGTAGACTTCTTCCATGAGAAGCCCGTAGAGGAAGGCGGTGCAAACGTCCAATTGCTCCACCTCGAGGTTAAGCGATGCCGCTAGCGCGAGCAATGCGAAGAGTTGTAGCCTTGGCGACGGGAGCGAAGGTCTCACTATAATGCTCCCCCTCCCGTTGAGTGTACCCTTGAGCTACAAGCCGCGCCTTGTAGCGTTCGACACTCCCATCGGCTCCCAACTTCTACTTGAGCACCCACTTGCATCCCACCAAGTAGGCACCCTTCGGCGGATCGACGAGCTCGAATACATCGTTCTCCTTGATCGATGCTAGCTCCTTCTCCATCGCTTGCTTCCATAGGGGCGCATCCGGAGAAGCCAAAGCCTCCGTGTGGGTGCGAGGGTCATCTCCCATGGTTGCGAAGCAATATGCCGCACGCTCCTCATCCAACTCCCCAACGGCTACCGTAGCGTAGTCGGCTAACTTCGTGTTGGGGCAAGGTGTACGACGCCCACGGGTCAACGCCAATGGTAGGGAAGAAGGTGCGGAGGAAGTTGCCTCCTCGGTTGGTGGCACCTCCACGACATCGTCATCGCTCTCCTCGTTCTCTCCCTCTCCATTCTCGGCTTCCTTTTCCGCTTGTGATGGAACCTCCACCGCCTCATCCTCCTCTCGTGCGGGAAGTACGACGGTGAGTTGCGGCGTTGGTTGTTCCTTCGTCGGAAACTTGTCTTCGTCGAAGACCACGTCTCGAGATGTGACGACGCGCCTTTCCGCCAAGTCCCACACTCGCCACACACGCTCGTTTGCCGCAACTCCCAAGTAGATTGCCGCACGAGCCTTCGGTTGCAACTTGTGGCGAAGAGGATCCGGGACATGGTAGTAGCAAAGGCATCCAAAGGTGCGTAGGCGGGATAGGTTCGGCTTCGTTCCGGTCCATGCTTCGAACGGAGTCGTTCCCGGGAGCACCTTTGTCGGCAAACGGTTGCGAATCCACGCCGCTAGCGCACTCGCCTCTCCCCACCACTCGTGCCCAAGCTTGGAGTGTTGAAGTAGTGAACGAACGGCTTCCACCAACGTGCGATTAAGCCGCTCCGCCGCTCCATTTTGTTGGGGTGTGTAGGGTGTCGTAACGTCGTGCTTAATGCCCTTACTCTTCATCCATTTCTCAAGCTCCGCGTTCACGAATTCGCCACCACCATCGGTGCGAATACACTTGATCCGCTTCTTGTCGTCGTCGCAAACTTCGAGCGCCCACTCTTGAATCGCCTTGGCCGCATCTCCCTTAGCCTTCAAGAGTCGGGTCCAACACATCCGCGTCGCGTCGTCGAGCATCACCAAGAGGAACCGCGCTCCTCCCTTTGATGCATGCCGCATCGGTCCGCACACGTCCATGTGAACAAGCGCAAGCGGGTCCTTAGCGAGGGGTGACGTTCGGCTACCAAATGGCTTGCGAGCCATTTTTCCTTCGACACACGCCGTGCACACGCCCTTCTCGTCGTCGCCGGCGATCACGTCGACTCCCTTCGCGAGTCCTTTGTTGACCAACTCCTTGACCGAGTCGTAGTTGGCGTGCGCAAGTCGATTATGCCACGCCTTGAGAGTCGCCTTGGAACCTTGCGCCACGTTGGATGAAGCCACTCCCGGGTGCGTCTTGAGTTGGTAAAGTTCTCCGTTGAGAACGCCTTGTGCGAATTGCTTCCCCTTCCAAAAGAGGTTCATCGTCGCGCCATCGATGGTGACCTTCACGTCCTTCTTCGCGAGTTGAGTGACGGAGAGTAGATTCACCTTCAATCCCGGGACGTGAAGCACGTTCGTGATGTCCACCGGTCCGCCATCGACGATGAGACGCGTACTCCCAACTCCGACCACCGGTAGCGACTTGCCGTTTCCGAAGACGACGCGCGTGACGTCTACCGGTGCACCAACGTTGGTGAGGAATGATGCCGAGTGCGTCATGTGTTGTGTTGCGCCGGTGTCAAGGAACCACGCGTCGTTTGGAGTGTTGGTCCCGTCACCGGCCAATAACACGATCGACTCCCTTGTATCATCCGCCTCGCCGGATGCCGTGTGCGCGTTGCCCTCTTGGTTCCGCGCCTTTGATGGAGTCCAATCGCTCGAACGCTTCCGACACTCTCGCCAAAAGTGTCCCGCTTTGCCGCAATAGTGGCACTTGCTCGCGCCGTTTGATGTGTTCCCCTTGCCGCGATCGCTTCCACCGTACGACTTCTTCGTCGCACCCTTGCTCCACTTGGACTTTCCTCCGGAACTCCCTCCGGAGAACATGGCGGTCTCCACGCTCTCATTAGCGAATTGTCGGCGACGCGATTCCTCATGGAGAAGCCGACCGACCACCGTTTCCTTTGTCCAAGTGTCTTGCACGCTATCGAGTGTCGTTATCACCGTCGACCACTCTTCCGGAAGACCGCAAAGCAAGGTCAAAATCCAATCCTCCTCCGTGACCGTTCCACCGAGGTCTACGAACGTTTCCCCAAGTTCCTCCACACGAGTCGCATACTCGTGCATCGATTCGCCCGCGCGCAACTTCACCGTGTAGAACGCGTTCCGGGCTAGGATCTTGCCATGGAGGGTCTTGTTTACGTGAATCGTCTCGAGCCGCTTCCACGCCTCATGCGCCGACGCTTCGAGCTTGATGCACGTGCGCACCGAGCTCACGAGGTTGATGCCGATCCGCGAGATTAGCGTAGCGAACGCCTTTTGGTCCTTCTTCTTCCAAGCCGCGATGTCGCTCTCGTCGTCCGGCTTCTTCTCCGTCCCATCGAAGAGACCCCAAAGTCCCCGCTCCATCATGAGCACTTGGAACTTAAACTTCCACGCGGAGTAGTTTTGTCCCGTGAAAATCGGTACCGCCGACGTGTCGTACATCTCCGCGGCTGCCCAGGGTTCGCCGGAATTTACAACGACACCATCCAAGGAAGTGCGGGAGGCCTCGCTTGAAGTCGGCATGCTTGCTTCTCGTCGCGCGCGTATACTCCTCCGACCAGCTCTGATACCACTGATGTAAAGGACTCTCCTCTACCTTGCAGGAACTGGGATCTGCACTAAATGATAGAGCACTCTGCTGGCTTTCCAACGAGCCGTCAAACACACGATTCGCCCAAGTAACGAGGGAGTTGTAGGCTTTTATGTGCTTGCTAGTGCTCTTAGAACAAAGGATAGGAGCTCTCTGGATTTTGTAGTCGAATGTATCACTTACAAAGTGATTCTCAATTTCAGTATGATCCATGCAATACAAAGCAACACAATTTTATATGAACTGCAAACATCGAGTCGCACATGTAACCTCGAACCGCGGTACACTCGCGAATGTTCGAGTAACATTTCGAAGGGGTGAAATTCGACCCTCGAATTTCACCGATCCGAATTCTCCTTGGGTCTCGAATGTTCCTGGTGCTGCCATGTGGCACCGAATCGATGGGTCTTCCGAAGTCAACCCACTCACTTCGAAACCTGCAGCTCACGCAACATGTGAGCTTCATTCGGTGGTTGGGGGCAAACCTCCCCCCACACTCAACCTCCAACATATAGATATTACAATGTAGCACAATTACGCAAGGAAATTGAGTGGGAACAGGAAGAGAAGAGGAAAGGAGGAATAACGTGAGGAGAAAAAAGGAAAGAAGAAGAAAGAAGGAAGGGAATAGGGAGAAAATGGTAGGAGGAAGAAAAACCGGGAAAAAGGAAGAAAAAACACAAGACACAACATCAAGAAAACCCCAATAGCACACACAATTGAAACCCCATCAAACCATCCCATCAAAATACCCCAACTGCACTCCCATCGAACCAAAACCCCCCCTAAACCCACCCTCTTAACCCGCATGTCTACCAAGTAGGGTGCATCCGCCCACGGAGCATCCCATCCCATCTCCTCCTCAACATCCTCCCGCTCCACCCAAACAGCCTCTGGACCTCTCATCATCGACGCCGCGCGTAACAAGATCACACGCGCCTGAGCCCGCTGCAAAGCCACACCCACGGCCGCTTTGAGTGAACCGAGCAAATAAGCCGAGAAACCCTTTCCCGTAGCTCGCGCCGCCCCTTTCGTCTTTGCTATCTCGATCTGCGCGTCACCCTGCTTCTTAAGCCATTGTCCAAAACTCCCCCCCAAGCATCCCCATGTCTCAGCAATGAGAGGTGTGAACTGCACTCCCCTATGCCGCTGTAGAAGCGATTTGTAGTCCGCCGCCTTCCGCTTTTCTCTCTCTCTCGCGGCAAAACCCACCTTGCGCCCAATCTGTCCATGGTGCTGCGCGGATAGCGAGATAGGGTCTACCACACTAACCTCCAACGCGTGCTCCTCCCCCTCCCTCAGTTTCCGAACCGCCACATCAACCCTCTTCCCTGGGAGCAACGTGTCGTCTTCCATGGTCACAATCCCACCCGCACCCTTAGCTATCTTCGCCACCACAAACTTAACCGCATCGTGAACACGAGAAGGTGCATACTGATACTTGCAGCGAAGGGCATGATGCGGGTCAGAGGGATCAGCAAACTCAAACCCACACGCGCACTTGCCGGCCACTATCAGCTGCTGTATAGGGAGGCCTAAGCGCATGGACGCGCAGATGCTCCACTCGGCTGCGGTGAAGGTAGCCTCCTCGTGCGAAGGAACGGCAGAAACCCACGCCCCAGCCCCCGGGCCCTGAAGGGATGTCAAACGGGCCAAGGTGGCATCGTTGTGGGCCATGCCTCGAAGAGATTGAAGGCTCTCAACCGCTAGGCGACGGTGTTGTGTGGAGAAGAGCAGCACAGGGGGGTCAGCAGTGCACAAGGCAAGGGGTGGCATCTCCTGCCGGACCGACTGTGGAAGCAGATCCACTGCTCTCGCAAACCAGGGGTCCAACAAGGTCGTAGCCTCGGGCGTGCGGAAAAACTCCTCAAACATCCGCTCCTCACCTGCCACCCCCAACCGAGCCACATCGCTCACTGCTTGGCACCAGCCACATGCATACCATAGAGGACTAAGGTCAGCCGCAGATCGAATGCCAAACCCTCCGAGTCTGGCAGGAAGGTGCAGCTGTAAACGAGCCATCTGAGACTTCCCCGAATCGTGATCCCAGGTACTATCTGGAAACAGCTCCTCGAAACAATCTTCTAGCTTCATGTCCCAGTCCCGAAAAGCCTCCACAACCTCAGGTCGTGGAGGCATCGTCCGTGTGAGGTAAATCGGGCGCGCTGACACTGCGATCGCCAGCAAATGGGACGCAATCTGTGGGTGGTCAAGCAGAGGAAGCCAAGGGACAGGTGCATGCAGCTCCGTCAGCCGGCGACGCAGGCTAGCCACCTCCCAGAATTTCTATTGTGACTTTCCGAAACCAAAAGGCCCTTTTCAAAGTTTTTTCTTGGGTGTGTGCACCACACGTCCACCCTCGGTCACTTCGGTTTTGTGATCCGAGGCAGGCTGACGTCGAATAAAGCCAAAAGTGTTGCTTCGATTTGCTGCCTAGCGGTGGCCCAGGTACACAGTGCATCATTTCGAATCGCCAGCACGGACAATGGACGCCAAGAGGCAAAGATTTCAACACCTGACCGTCCGAAATTTCTAGTGCCACTAGAGCTGTCCTGCCATGCTGCTCCAAGGGATTTGGCGACTCTCACCAATAAAATCGCAGCACCGCCAACGCAGCCGCCAGTGTCGTGCCTGCCACACCGCTTTGCGAGCAGCCAGCCCCTCACGCGGAGAGAAATCTTGCTTGTGGCAATTCCCAAGGACCCCCTTTGTGGCTCCAAGAAGCCGCGCTTGCACCTCTCAGTGCCACGTGTTATCCACAACATGAATTTCAACCGTCGATCGGCACGTGGGTTTAGTGATTCTGCGGTGGTTTTGGGCTCTGCCCCCAATAGCAAACTGCCCTCTCTAGAAGCTGGCGAGGGAGCAAACCCTCACCAATCGCCACTGCCGCGGTTGCTTGCTCGCTTCTGTTCCCAGATTTTCCCGCCTTGCTTTTCCTAGAAAGCGATTGCTTCATTTCCCACCTCCGATTTCTCATTTCTCATTTCCTCATTCCACTTCAGCTTTCTCAATCCCTTGTGTTAGGCGAAAAGGGATTCCTAGTTCCAGGAGCTCACTAGTTCTGTAATGTCTCTAGCTTCTCTCCTATCCACGCAAACTCCTTCGTGTTTCACAATCCACGCTTAGGCGTTTGAGCATCTCGGCAATCAGCGGGAAGATGAGTTCTATGATGTTGCGCAATCCGGTGAAAATGCGAGGTGTGGAGGTTTACAAAGATGGCTGGCTTGCCCGCATTCAGATTCGCGGTACTCGCTGCCGCTTTGGCATGTTCGCGAACCAGCATGAGGCGGCACGAGTGTACGATAGGTACGTAACGGCTGTTAGTTATGTCTCATCTGAGTCTCATTAGCCTCTTATGTCTATGGCATTTTGCTGAAGGCCTGTGGTTGGCCTTTCTCCTGGATTGAAGGAGTGGTGAACCCTGCATTGTCATAGATACCAGATTTCCGTCGCCGCTCACATTGCTGTTATCGACTCTTCAAAAACTTCATAGCTTCCACTCCTTACTCTCATCGTTTTTCCCCTTCTCTTCGTTTCTCACTCAGGCTATCGTACAAGCTTCACGGGGCGCGTGCCGTCACGAACGGCACGATTGACGAGGACGCGAAAGCCGAGATCGAATCCTCCTCCCTCGAATCAATGCTAGCCGTGGTCCCCGCCATAGATCCGTATCCTCTCTACGAATCCGCGTGGCAGGCAGAGGGCGGCGAAGAGGAAGACGAGGTGGCTGAGCAATCCATTAGTTACGACAGTGATACGACCGCTCCCTCGCCTGATAGGATCAGATCCGGTAGGATCAATGCTGCTGACGCCGTCCTTCCGGAGTTGCTCGAGGCCGAGAGCCGTAGGCGTGTAAGCAGCAGTAGCGAGCCGTGGGCGTCGCCGTCTTCTCAGGGATCTGGAAGGATCTCGCGGTCCGAGGAGTCCTCCTGCGCGTGCTGCGATACAAGGGAATGCACTAACGCGTACAAGAGCGGACCTCACCCAGATCCCGCGGCTTGCGAGTGGGATCGTCCTTCTAGGAGGTACCACGGTGCGGCCTCGTCCAACTCGGGGAGTGTACTCGGTATAACCGGCTCCGATTCGGGCAGCGACGAGGTTTACTGGAGCAGCGGCGGTGTCAAAAGGTCTGGCAACGGGGACTGCAACGGCGGGGACGGTAATGGCGATGGCGAGTGCCCCGGAATGTTGGTGTTCACTGTGCGGAAGAAGCGGCGGATGCGATCTCGACCGCACACGTGGAGCAATGTCTCGCCCATCAACGGCTCTCCGATTACGGCCTCTCCCAGCAACGGTGAGTCTCGAGATTGCCGGATCCGCGGCCCCGTGATTTCAAGAGCGAATGTACTGTCGTGAATGCATCGGCTTTAATGTGCGTCGCCGATGCACACTTAAGCCGTTTCCGTTCTCCAACCCTTTCTCCCGCGCGAACTCTCCTCCTGCAGGTTCGGAACGAATGGGCACTGGGAGCATCACCGTAGCTCGCGGAACGGTTCAGAGCGGAGAGGAGATTTTGAGAGGGGCAGTGGTTCGCAGTGCGGCAGGGGCGGAGCTTCCGATGCAGGTGAACGCGGAGCCGTCAGCATCGGAAGCTATGGATTACGAACGCGACACGCACGAGCGCTGCGACGGCGACTCAGGTACGAAAAGCGAATCAATAAACTTATTGTTTGGGTGGGGTGGTGCTTCCACTGGGGTTTTCTAGATCCAGGGTTTTTTAATTTGGTGCACTAGACGTTACTGTGTTTTGTCGTGCAGGCCCACTGCTCTGTTCCGAGGACCTCCTTACGCGAAGCAGGGAGTCGACTCGCCCCGCCGCTCAAGCCACTCCTGGAAATGCGCGCGAAGC